CTCATCAGCCCAACTGTCCCCATTTCTGCTTACTGACCTGATGTACTCCTCCTTGTTCTCCTCGGTGACCAGCTCGTTCTCCCCGTCGTCCTTCAGCTGGTGAGTGGAAACCTTCCCGAGGATCTCCATGTCCTGTGCAAAATAGAGCTCCACACCGCACTCCTCCAGGTTGTTCTCTCTGAAAACACAGACGCACACATAATGAAACTAAAAACATTGGCACCTCATCCTCTCTGTGCCGCCTGCGAGACTGACCTAAATCCAGCAGCCTTCTTGGAACAAACTGCGACACCAACTCCTTTATGTGACAGTTTATATATAAAATATAAAAATATCATATATATTGAAATGTTTATGTATTTACTAATACTGTTAATTTAGAGAAGGGGTGACAAACATAAGGCCCGGAGGCCAAAATTGGCCTGGCAAAAACTGCAATTTGGCCCACTGGATACTTTTGGAAAATGTAAAGGCGGGCATAAATTTTTTACCTGTATTTTCCTGCTGATAGTGATTATCACTCAAAGTAGCAACAGATAAACATGCTTCATGTTTAGAAATGTATAGAATAGAATAGAATAGAATAGAATAGAATAGAATAGAATAGAATAGAATAGAATTCAACTTTATTGTCATTGCACATGCACAGGTACAGGGCAACGAAATGCAGTTTGCATCCATCCAGAAGTGCTTTAGCCATGATATAGATATATTACAATATATATAAGCAATAATATAGATTTGTAAGTATATTACAGGAATGGGTCTATTATGGTATGTTATAATGTACACGGTATGAAGTATTCGAAGTATTTGAAGTATGTACAGGCTGTAGTGAGTACAAGCTATGTACAGGCTATGAACAGGATTTATATATGAAATAAAAAACGATACAGAAATCTGAGATATACAGTTAGGGTTATCTTAATAAAAATGAAATAAAAGTGGCTGTGAATCAACAAAAACTTCATGTTTTACAGACACGCGACAGGCTGGGCAGCTGCCAGAACCTTTTCTGTAATTTTACACATTTATCGTGTAGAGAAACTGAGGCGTATTGTTGAAATTGTACTTCCTAATCTTATATTAAGACATCTCAGGGATTAAATGTGTACTGAAACTTCTTTACACTGACAGAGTTTCACTTGTTCAGTCAACTTCAGATCAAAGTGGGCTGTATGTGGCCCTCGATGTAAAATGACCTCGACATCCCTAATTTAGAGTAAAACCTCACATTAGGCGGTGGTCTGATAAATTTTATAGTCTGTCCAGCTGAGGGCGCTCCAGCTCCACTGTTTGTGATCAGCACTGTCAACAGCACATGCAAC